CATGAATCACCTTCTAAATACCCCACCTTTCAATACTATCATATAGGTAATTAGGTTTTCAACTTAGGATTTGGGGAATACCCAAACATCCAGAGCACAGCAACTATCATCCTGTACATTTAATCTCCAAAATGTATTCATTGAGCATAACTGAACCTTTGTATCATTTGTTCAGCATTCCCCATGCCTTTTGAAGAAACATGGGTAAACCAGGAGGACATCATGCTAAGTAAAATAAGTCAGTCATGGAAAACTAAAACAAATACTGCATGACCTCACATATATGTGGAATCTAAACAGTATTCACTTTTGTTCTTAATGATATTACCACTTATCATTAAGGTCTACTTCTTCCTGAAAGTAATGTTTAGCTATTATTTAATAACCTAACAAAGCATATGTCCTATTTCTATTCATTTTCATTGAGAGATTGAAAAATTTGTGCCTAAATATTATGCTGTATCAAAACTAAATTATCATCATAATATTTCTCCAGTATCACAAAAGTCATATTTTGTTGTTGTTACACTTTTTTTAAACAGTTGTCACTGTGGTTTAGTTTTGCCATATAAATGATTCTATTACTTTGAAAAATAAGAGGTGAAAAACATTGTCTAATATTGTCTAGGGATTACAATATTAAGCAACAGGAAAACCATCCCCTGAATTTTGTAACAAATGTTATTGGTCATMTTCACAGAATTTTTAAAAAAGATCACCAAGCAGTAGAATCCTCATATACCTTCAACTCTAATTTAATCATCCTTTCATTATTCCCTCAAAGCTCTGGAGAAATTTTTTTTTCTTCCCTTTAATTAAACTAATTCTTTCCTCCTCCGGTGTGTCTCCCAACACTTCTAATATCTGGGACAGTTCTCTCCTAATTAAGATTTCCCTCTATGGATGTTTTGCTCTTCTTAGAATTCTCCATTCTATCATAAACATGAGAAGTAATTTAAAAAATATGACATTGATTCTTTGTTCTGGAATATCAATGTTCACCTCTTAGTAAGAGACTTCTGAAAAAAAATAGTTTTGTATTCTGCCTTCAATTATTACGAATGAATTCCCTTCTTCATTCTTGTAAGCTGCTTCCTGCTTCCATCACACTATTCAAGCTTTTTCAGAAAAGGGTACAGAATGACAGTTTTATGTGTCAAAATAACGATTTTTTCTCGGTCATCACATCTCTTCACCTTTCTGAAAGAGGCACTGGTACTGACTTCTGACATTTTCTCCTTCCTGAAAGTGTCTCCAATTCAGGATGCTGGCAACAGCAGGCACACTAAGCTCCTAGACTTCTGGCTAAGACTCTTTCCATCTCTCTGCCAGTTCTTTTACTTCTCCAAGAAGTTGTCCTTGTTCCTGACTCTTCTGTCTGCATGCTCATTTTTCTTGAAGAGCTCTTTCCTTTTTCTACTTGAAACCTCTAAACCCATGGATACAATCTGCAGATTCAAAATGATCATTCCTAAGTTCCTTGTGTCTATAGGGTATCTCTTTGTGGAAACCAGCATCCACTCCACCTTTGAAGCATCCTCTTCATTTTTGCAGCTGTAGWATTTGTGGTATTTAACCATCTTCTCCAAACTCATAGACAGACATTGTATTTGAGGTTATATACAGTTATATCATCAGCATCTATTCTCCTCTGGTGAAACAGCTTGGCAATTAGAWAAGCATTTATAGCACAATACAGGGAGAATGATTTGTTTTTAAAGCATATGTGTTTATATGCCTGAAGGAATATATGACAAAATGTCATTAGTAGTTTTCAGTGGGTTTCAAGTTTGAATGATTTTAAGAAACCAAAAATCATTCTATGTTGAATATTAGTCATGGCTATAAAWAATTTTGAAGGTAAATGAAGTTAATTAATTTAAAATTAAAACTCCAAGGCCATTGCTTCTTCTCTATTCCACCTTTATATTGTGCCCCTACTGATTTTATAATGCCAAAATTATTATAAAAATATTTTGGTTAAAATATCTGTCTCTATTTTCCTTCTGTAGGATTTTGTGCTGCATGCCATCCTAAGACAATAATAACCCTTTTTTTCTTATTCAAGTCCTCAAGGTTACAAATTTTACTTTTTCCTCCTTTTTTTATTTTGTTTTGGATCTGAAGTGTCCCCCAAAAGCTCATGTGTTAAAAGCATACTCTTCAATAACACAAGGTTCAGAGATGAGGCTTTTAGGCAATGATTGGATAATGAGGGCTCTGATCTCATCATTGGATTAATCCATTTGTGAATTAATGGATTGAGGATTAATCCATTAATAGTTGAATGGACTACTGGGAGTACCCTCCTAGAAAGTGGATCACTGGGAGTGTTCCTGGAAATATTTATCTTATCCCTGGATCCTTCTTCCCTCTCTGTTTCCTAGCTGTCATTGATCTAAAACGTTTTCCTACTCCATATCCTTCTGCCATGATATTCTGCTTTAGTTGGAAACTAGAGCAATGGAGTTGGCCAACCATAAACTGAGACTTCTGAAACCATGAGACAAAATATATTGTTTCTCTTCTAAGTTGTTCTTGCAGACATTTTGGTCACAGCAACAACAATAACAACAAAAACCTGACTATTACAACATAGTCCCTAAAATTTAGGAACCACCTTATAGCATGCTATACCCTGTTGCATATTTCTATTGAATTTTACCCTGTTATGCTTATCCTGTGACCCCTGGAGTCTCTTTTGCTGCTTGGTCTTTTTCTCCCTGTCTCCCATTACTGCTATGATCACCCCTCCCTCTGAGCTTACTCCTAAATAGAGTAAGCATTTATTGAAGTTGTAYCAAGTGGAAAGCATTACCTCTGTTTTGTACAATAACCCTGTTAAGTTAGGATAATGGCCTTCATTCAATAGATATGGAAACAAATTCAGAAACAAGAAGTGATTTTTAAGTAAATTCACCCCTAACAAGTGGCAAAGGTAGTCAAATTAATTTCTTTCTAGCATAAAGCCCAGTCTCTCTCTTCAGCATTCTGTGTAATCATCTACCTAGCTCAGTTGTTCTTATGTATTCGTAATATTTCACTTTAAATACACCATTGCCATGATACTTTTACTGATTGCAGTAAATTACAGGAATGGCTCTGACCTCCCAGGTTTCACTAATATATTTTGCCTTGTAGCCATCTTTAAACAGTTCATGTCTATATTCCAATTATACTCTTTTGGAATAAAAACAACGTCTTATTGCTTGTTTGTAAATATCATCAAGCATAATTCCAGAATTGCATCATCAAAATTAGCATAATATGTGTTCTCAAAAAATTGGTTATTGGTTATATTTTATTTAAAATGCCAGTAATACCAATTTCTCTTTCCTTATAGGAAGTTAAAAATAAATGACCCATAAAAATAGATATAAATATTTAATGTAAATAATAATAGGTAATTTATAATGCCTATGGTAATTTTTTGTTCATATACCAACAGCAAAATAAAGTATARAATGCAATGTCATGCTTACAGGAAGGGACAAGATAAAACAGCTTTTATCTGATGAGTGAATTCTCATTGACACTAGTAATTTTTATATGCAATTTTTCTTTTTCTGAAAATACATCTAAATTTCAGTAATTTTTTTATTATGTAAACACTCAATATATCATTGTAATTCTATATACATTTTCCCACAGCTTAAAATTGCTATTTTATCATCTGACAGAGAACAAACGCTTTGAGGTTATATAAAGTCATTTAAAATGTTTATATTCATTCACTAAAAATAAAATGACTTAGACAATTCCTTTTCATAAGCTGGCAGAAATTTWWAAAAAAAGTGACATTAATAATTCAGGCTAACATTAAATATATATGAGTGTGTGTGTGTATGTGTGTGTGTGTGTGTGTGTGTGTGTGTATATATATATATATATATATATATATATATATATGAATTGCTTATAGTAACGACTTAAATATAGGATCAAATTTGTGTAAATGAGAATAGGCAAATATTTTAAGACCAACAATATGAATTTCTGCATGTATATAGCATCAATTTCACTGTACAGAGATATAGAGATAGATCCTTTTTTGCTTAGATAGATATAGTCCTATACATTTCTTTATATAGATATAAAGTATTTAGGTTATCCCTAAATATAATATACTTAATTCAAATTTTTTTCTAGATTTATAATCTCTGTTTCTGTATTTTCATCTAATCTATGAAGTTTCTTCTCCAACTTTTATTGTCTGCCCTGAGTGCCAGCTAATCTCTTGACTTTATCTTTTGCAAAATATGCTTTTAGAAAATTAATTTTAAAAGTATTTTGATATTTAGCTAGGCATGGTGGTGCATGCCTGTAATTCTAGTGATTCTGCATGCTGAGGCAGGAGGATCACAAGTTTAAGACAGTCTCAGCAACTTAGCGAGGTTCTGTATCAAAATAAAAAAATAAAAAGGGATTGGGAGTGTAGATCAGTGTTTAAGTGCCCCTATGTACAATCCCCAGGACAAAATAAATAAATAAAGGCATTCTGATTTTTAAATTTATAGCCAATATGGTAATCAACTGCCTCTCCAAAGAATATTTGTATATTTAGTCAATGAGAAAGAAAAGGGTTGAATTTATTACGTTAAAGTATATAAAACCACTGTTTTGAGATTTAAAATAATGGTTGATTATAGGTGAATGTAAGTATATAAGGCTCAATTGATCATAAGAATAAGGTTTTTTTTCAGATTAATACCTTAGCAGTTTGTGAACAATATTCAATTGTCTAGTAAAAAAACAGAAGAAAGTGCYAATGGTTGGGGTACTTTGATAAACTTACCCTAAACACACTGTTAGCATGGAATTTACTTTAATTTTAGCATACTTTTAACTTAATATATATAGGGAGGGTGTGCTGATATCTTTTCAGTGTTTTGCATGTCTCAAGGCTTTACCCCACCCTGCCCTGATTGTACAACCAGCCTTGTTCAGATCAAACAGAACTTTTTTTTTTTTAATGTTAAAGTTTTAACAAGTGTTCTTACCTGATTTTGAGATCTTTTCATCTGTTTTAGTTTCAGGTCCTGGAGTAAAACATGTACATAAACACATTCAAATAAAAAAAAAATGAACACTAATCAGTACAAGTGGATTAACAGGCAGTTTTCATTGATTTTTCTTATATGTTCTCAATTTCAGTTATAGTTACTTTCATCACTACATTATACTTTTATAACTATGTCATTGGAAAATGTACCTTTGATAAATCATAAAGTAATTTAAGCAAAGCTAGTTTGATTTCAAACTCCATTTTGCCAAAACGTTTATATTAATAAAGTAATTTGGCATCTTGTTCTTATAAAATCCAATCTCCTATGATTCATAAGAGTTTTGAAAATGAAGAAATTATAATCACTACCATGATTTTCCCAGTTTGACCAATTTAAGCAATTTTCTATTTTTGACTGATACACTTAATTCATGGAGCTCCACCTGGTGGTTAATTTAATAATTTCAAAATGATATAACTACAGTTTTATAAGTATTTCTAATATTATTAATTTTAAAAAATAAATGAAATAGATCAATATTAAGTTTAATAACATAAGCAAACATTGGAATAATAACAGTTTTCTTATCGTCATGGGATAATTCCTTTTGTCTATAAATTATGCATTCTAAAGTATCAGTATAAAAAATAGWTTTTTAAAAATGCATAATTTTACAAATATCCAAGTAATACCTATGATACCAACCTATCCAAGGTAATAATGACAGTATTTTAAAATTTCCTGTTCCTTGCCTTATTTAGTCAGGTTTTCTTAGGCGTTATAGTGCCATCCCTGGGCAAAGAGACTTCTTTTGTCTAATGGAATGATTTAGTTACAGTACAGCTGTCTTCCCTTCAAAAACAGGAAAAGCAAACCCATAACAGGGATGCTCACTGAGCATTGATCATGCCTCAGAAATGGTGTTATCCAGTGTTATTCAGGTTGTAGCTTAAGGGGTTGGGGATATAGCTTAGCTGGTAGTGTATTTGCCTCTCATGCACAAGGCCCTGGGTTCAAACTCCAGCATTGCCAMAAAACAAAACAAAACAAAAACACCTCAGGTTGTGTCTTTGTAGTTTCTCATTTTCTGTAGTTACAGTGTAAAATAGCACATCTGTTTAACTGCAAAATTTTATGATAGAGAATTACATAGTCATTTGCATCTYACTTCCTTTAAGGTTCAGATTCACATCCTATAAAAAGTGATGTCAGTGCTATTAATGTACTTTGACACTTTTGGCATATATTTCTCCCCATTTGTTGAGAATGTCACTTCACTGGATAGGAGAAATTTGATGTTGATTTTTTTTTAATGTGCCTTAATGTTATATAAAATATAATTTATATAGTTTTTTTTTTCTCTGTCTATATTCCCTGTTTAGATGATAAGCTCTTTGAACAAAAACTATGTCTTCTTTACTACTTAAGTACCAGGATTTGGTCAAATAACTGACACATGGCATTTGATCAATAAATATTGTTGAATGAATAGTGAAGGAAATGGTAAATAGGAAACAACAAAAAAAGGTCTCACTTGTATATTTTAGTCCTAGAAGAAATTGGTTTATCTCATGCTTCTAGAACTAAAAGGAAAAATTCAGTTTCACATAGCTGTTACATTTATCTTTATTTTAGAATGATATGTTTTCCATTAAGTAGYATTATTCTTATTTTTTCAATTAAGCAGTATCGTTCAGTGTTCAACCATACCAAATACGACCACCACTGACTCAWTGACTCCTATATTATTGGTTTTCCTGGTGCTGTGTGCTTTTTCTATACCAGTCTGGCTAAAATTAAGTTATATGTCGTTCCTTCATCCATAATAAAACACTACCAAACTCTTTTTGGTGGTAAATTTTGATGAGTTTGAGTTTCACTGAAAGAGAAARAATTTYTTTTYCCCCTCAGGAAGTTCCTTTTTGATTGAMTTATGCTAAAACCAATGTTATAAGTTTCAAACAAATTAGTCAAATTTTAGTAGCAAAAATTAATTTTCTAAATAATTTATTATGGTTCAAGTTCTGGTCTACTGTGAATTTGTATTATTTTATTATTCTATAAAGTAAGTGTTAATTTTTGTCTACATTTGCAGATGAGGTAGTTAAGGCTTACAAAATAACTTGTCAAAATTCTTCCAGTTTTCAGGTGGCTGTAACAGGACTCCCTTGTAGCTTCTCAGCCTTTTCTCCCTAATCAGAAAGCCCATCACAAGGACCAAATGACCCCCCTCTCCTCCTTAGTTCTCCACTTTTGAAGTACATCTGAGGCATATAATTTAATTTCCCAGAAACAGATGCCTATAAGTTTAAGTTTTTTTGTTTTCCCTAGGATAGGGCTGGCTGTTATTTTGCTAATTAAAATGAGGTGCCTCTTTTTGAAAGAGCCTTGCTCTTTTACTCTGCACATGGCTCTTATTCAATCACATTGTCATTTTACCCTTGAAATCGAATTATCTTAGTTTTAATATTTGTATAAAGATCTTTTAGAAGAACTAAAAATTGTGGATAACATTTTTATAGCATGCAATACAACTAAAATCAACTTGTACATAAAATTGCCTATCATGCACTATCAAATATACAAGTGTGTGAGGATCCTCTCACTGAAATAGGATTACTGGGTTTTAGTATTATGTAAACACTAATCAGATAACATAAAAGTAAATTATTACTTGTTTTGGAGTGTCAGGAGCCAGCTTTTGAATCATATAATCTGTCTTTAAAAGCTAGATTCCTCACTAAGTTTTACAACCTTCAGTATTTCTTAAAACAAGTCTCCATTTTGTCTTTCATAAAATGGAGAAAATAATGTTGTAAAATTGTGAAAGTTTTAAGTGATAAGAGCATCAGTATTTTAAAATTATGCTCATTAAATTGCATGACCTTTCAATGTAATTTTATTTCTTCATACACAATTGGGACTTCACCCTTGAAATATTCAAAATGGGAATTTGTATGTGAGAAATTGTCAACAGATTTTTCTAAGGTGAGCAGCTCTTTTATYAGGCTATTTGGTCATTAAGAGTTTAATGCCTCATTGTGTGGATGACATTTCTACTGATGATTAATTTTTGAGTCATATAAGGATGCAGTTCCCAACTAGCACCTATTTCTGGTCATATTTTAAAAAAACAACAATATATACATTTAAAAAAATTTAGTCCCAAAGGCTGTTCTGAGAAGCTACAGGAAACTAAGGACAGTGATTAATGCTGTTGATTGAAATCTGGAGACCAGAGAGAGGAATGGGCACTTTTATTTTTTTYACTCATTCTTCTCTGCTTACATTTTTTTCTACCACTAGCTAGTACTGAACATTAATGCAATATCTAGCTTGTATAAACACTTGTCCCTGGAGCCCTTCATTTTGGGCTCACATACAGGCATTTCAGAAACATGGAATCAAGAAATCCCCATGCTGAGTTGTTGAGGCAGACAACCTGCCATTTCATATGGARCACTGACTTTTCCAGGCTGTTGATTTCATTTATGAAATGTAAATTGCTGATGGGTCTAGGGAGGGGAGTTTCATTAATGATTTTTCAATGTCATCAACACTGTGCTGTCAAGTAGAGCAGGCAGACCAATGCTTTAGCAAGAAGATCAGGGGGAAGACAGCAGAGAAGACCCACTCTGCTTAGGAGTTTCTGCTCTGYCTTCATTAAACAAAAGGAAAGGGATTTGTTCGATATATAAATCCCAAGAATCTGCATCCTTTTCAAGGGACTTCTATTTTAAACATTTTGCAAGAAGGAAATTCATTATCTTTCATTGCTTTTCTTGCTTTATTTTGTGTACATGACCATATTACATACAGGCCTTATATATGTAATAAAATGCAATGATTATTATTTTTTCAACCCTGCAATATTTTGCATTTGCCACATGGTTACAACTAAGCAAAGTACACTATATGCATTACCTGTATATCATTACTTTAATATTAAATATTYATTTGGTTATTAGTGTTCTAATCCCAATATCATATAAACTTTATGAGTCCTGGGATAAAATCTTATTTTCTTTGCTATATGACTGTACTTAGGAAGTGTTTTGCACATAGTACAGATCAATAAATGTTTCTTTAAAAAATGGAAAAATTATATAATCTTTGCTTACCACTCCTTTGAAGTAAATATKAATAGACCCACTTTCCAGATGGCAGTATTGATGCTTAATAAGAAGTCTAAATAATAAGTCTTAATAACTAACTCTATATGTCCTAGTAAGTAGCAAACTGTCATTTGAATCCTGTTTTTCTTCTAATTCCAAAGCTTTAAGCACTCTGAAGCACASTGCCATACCTACTGTTGCTATTAATAGAGTTAAAATCTTTAAAACATTTCATACATAAAAACTATGTAGGAAACCACATTCTCTTTCATATAGGCAAATTATATTATCTAGATTTTATTCTGTAGACAAACTAGCTGTCTAGCTGTAAAACTATAATTAGCATATACAATATGCTAAAGTTTCTATTTTTTTGATCCAGTCATTAAATCACCAATTATATTAATATGACTCCTAAATTAATCTGGTAACAATAAATAGAAAGACTCAGCATTGATAGAAAATTGATAGCCATCTCACACACTCCTGAATTATTACTATTATTCAATATCATGGAAATTTTTTCTACTAAAAAGCAAGTCACAGAACCTCTTCATATAAAATATTCAAAGGAACATTATTAGCACAGTTATCCCTTTTCAATCACCTTTGAGTTTTAATCTGAGAGAGTCTGGAAAGCATGATGGCAGAGGACAAGAATCTAGTCACCCTGCCAGATGAGTCCTGCCAGCTGCAGGATAACTGTGTGCCCTGGGCAAGGCAATCTCAGAGTTTCCTTTCTCATCTTAATAAAAAGATCGCTGTGAAAATCAAAGGAACAGTGCATGGGAAGTTTTTAGCCCAATGCCAGGTACAAAGTAAATTGAGCATATTAGTCATGTTGTTGACATTTAAAATTTTTTTGTTTTAGTTTTAGTTGGACACAATATATTTATTTTATTTATTTATATTTATATG